GCAGTACAAGATACACATATCTATATATACCCATTAAAAATTAAGGCATACACTGTGTTAAGTACAATTAAAAGTCATACACAACGAGGACAGTGACAAAACCCTATCCATACAACTTTATGGGAACTGTACAAAGGACATAAATAATATAAATATTCTCTCCCAGCCTAAACAGCTGTACATTTTTTGAGGTAGGAAAAAAACCCACATCTTCCCGTAATGGAATTAAGAGTTTATTACAGTCAGTACTTTGCATTGCATCCAGCGGTTAAATTAACAAAGATAAACAGACCGTTCCCTTTTTTAAAAAAAACAGGTCAGCAGTACCCACAATGCATTGCTCTGGAGGCATGTTTCTACTAAAGAGAGAATTCTTTCAGCATTATTAATTCTTGCCTTCCTTACAGGATTCTCAAAGTCCGGGTCCACAAACATCTAGTTCTTACTCAAGAGTACATTTCTGGAACTGAAAAGTTGCTGGACTACAGTTCCCATATTCCCTGGGAGTCCATCAACACTTGAATACCCAAACCTTAACTGCCACTGCCTAGACCATCTACTTGGAAAATCTCCAATTTCACCTCCCCAAGATTTGGAAATTTTAAACGCCATCTACTATCCTCTGCAATGATTCAAATACCTACCAAGTCACACGCTTATGACTCCAGTCTCTCTGTCACTAGGGCTGGGCGATATATCATCTAAAACTGGTTAGAAGGCCCTATCGTGATATTGGTTTCATAATTTTGGAACTAGCAGTATATTGCGAATCAAGATGTGTGTGCGCTATGCAAAAATCACAATCTGGGGAAAAACGTGAAGCCAGCCAATGCCTCTACAGTGGTGCTTCAGGTTACAGATGCTTCAGGTTACAGACTCTGCTAACCCAGAAACAGTACCTCAGGTTAAGAACTGTACCTCAGGATGAGAACAGAAATCGCGTGGCGGCAGCGGGAGGCCCCATGAGCTAAAGTGGTACCTCAGGTTAAGAACAGTTTCAGGTTAAGAATGGACCTCCAGAACGAATTAAGTTCCTAACCCGAGGTACCACTGTACATGGCTCCATCCTCATTTCAGACATGGTGATACATTGGTATATCACAATGTTTAATTGGTGATGTATCGCCACGCTGAAAACCGGATATTGACCAGCCCTATCTGTCACCGTGCACCAAACGTGCAAACATCAAATCAAAACGCTTGTCAAAGTTGTTTGAGTTCACGTGTGAATCCTTCCTCATTTGAGGTCCACCCAGGCCTCAGCTCAGCTTCCAAGTAAAATAGAGGACGTTAAGAGATCAGTACCAATTCTGCGCATCTCCAGTTAAAAGATCTTGGGTAACAGGATTAGGAAAGCCTTCTGCCCTTGCCAGCCGCCCAGCAAGGAACCTCTGAACCACAGTGCCTAATATAGACCCTCCAAGTACCCCTATTTTCCAGGGACAGTCCCGGATTTAGAGAAGCCGTCCCAGTTTCTGATTTGATTCCAGAGTGTCCCACTTTCCCTTAGGATGTCCCTATTTTCATTGGTGAAATGTTGGAGGGTATGGCATTATGCAACCTCTGAGCCAAGGAGATAAGTAACTCTACAACCTTTAGAAGACATCTGAAGGCAGTCCTGTATAGGGAAGTTTTTTAATGTTTCATGTTTTCATCTAATTTGGAAGCTGCCCAGAGCGGCTGGCACAATCCAGTCAGATGGGCGGGGTGTAAATAATAAAATTATTAGTAGTAGTAGTATGGAATAAAGGTAAAGGGACCCCTGACCATTAGGTCCAGTCATGACCTACTCTGGGGTTACGGCGCTCATCTCGCTTTACTGGCCGAGGGAGCCGGCGTACAGCTTCCGGGTCATGTGGCCAGCATGACTAAGCCGCTTCTGGCAAACCAGAGCAGCGCACGGAAACGCCGTTTACCTTCCTGCCGGAGCTGTATCTATTTATCTACTTGCACTTTGACGTGCTTTCGAACTGCTAGGTTGGCAGGAGCAGGGACCGAGCAACGGGAGCTCACCCCGTTGCGGGGATTCAAACTGCCGACCTTCTGATTGGCAAGTCCTAGGCTCTGTAGTTTAACCCACAGCGCCACCCACGTCCCTGTAGTATGAAATACGACATCCTAATTTTCAGTGGAGAAATGTTTGACGGTATGGAGTGATGCGGCCCCCGAGCCAAGGAGATATGTAACTATACAATCTTTCGAAGACATCTGAAGGCAGCCCTGTATAGGGAAGTGTTTTTTTAAAATGTTTAATGTTTTATTATTATTATTATTTTGGAAGCCACCCAGAGTGCCATAATAATAGAATAGGACGTCCCTATTTTCATCAGAGAAATGTTGGAGGGTATGCATGTACAGCTCATTGGATCAGTTCCCCCCAACACACTTGCAAAACCAACCTGGTAGTCCACACACTAGGTTGTGTGGAGCATGGCAAGTCAAAAGTCATGTGAGCCAGCTCCTGCAACTGGCTTGATTCATTTGGAGTTATTTAGCACCACAGGCTTGGTCAAGCTGTCCTCTGCATATGGACCCACTGCAGGCTCTAGTACTGTATGCAGATTGTTGTGGGGGAGGGAGAATAAATAAAAAAAGTCCCTCCTCTTCTCTCCCCCCCTCATCCTCCTTTGATCTAACAAACCAGCCAAATGTCCTCAAATCCCGTGGGAAGCCTCAGAGAGAATGTTCCTTAAGGATTAACACATAAATAATGGGTCAGCTCATGCTTAATAATTGCCAGGGTACTTAGGGTGGTTGAGAATAACGACCAATTAGAGCCCAGCTGGCAAACATGTGGAGATTATCATTGCATCAAATGGGATTTGAGCTCTAAGGATGCCTTTGGCAAATGCAAGAGTATGGGTGATCGCCAGGAGAAATGTAGCAGTTGCGCGCTGGTTAAAAGAGAAGGTGAAACCCCCAGTGGCCCATGGAACATAGAATGCGGTCCCCAACATGGAATCCAGAGAACCTCTTGTTGTAAAGAAAGGAAGGTTTCCATTCTTGGTCACAAACAGGGCTGCTAGGAGCAATGGCTGGGGTGGAAGACAGAAGGAATAATCTGACCTGCTCCTGTGTGTGTTGGCAGATAGCTCAGTAAAAGGGACAGGACCCCTGGACGGTTAAGTCCAGTCAAAGGCGACTATGGGGTTGCGGCGCTCATCTCACTTTCAGGCCGAGGGAGCCGGCGTTTGTCCACAGACAGCTTTCTGGGTCATGTGGCCAGCATGACCAAACTGCATGGAAACTTTGTTTACCTTCCCGCCACAGCGGTACCTATTTATCTACTTGCACTGGTGTGCTTTCAAACTGCTAGGTTGGCAGCAGCTGGGACTGAGCAACGGGAGCTCACCCCATCGCAAGGATTCGAACCGCCAACCTTCTGATCGGCAAGGGGCTGAGTGTTTTAGACTACAGCACCACCCGCATCCCCTAGATAGCTCAGTACACAGGGGAGACCCAAGGGTGCAAAGCAGAGCTGGTGAGGGTTGTGGCTTGGGAGGGTCCATGACCTATAGGGATTGCAAAGGGATTGATGAGAAGATATTTGAAGGCAGCCCTTTATAGGTAAGTTTTTAATGTTTGATGTTTTACTGTGGTTTTATAATTTGTTGGGATCTGCCCAGAGTGGCTGGGGCAACCCAGTAAGATGTGTAGCGCATATATATATATATATAATTTTATTATTATTATATCCTGAGCCTGAGGTTCCCCATTCCTTCAGCTGATCTTTAAGTACATTGGTCCTGCACTCAGCTCTCACCTGTGGCTCCTAGAAGCTGTCAGCATGTGACAGTGGCCAAATCCTGGGAATGGCTTTGACCGGCTGGCTAAATTGGGTGGAAGGTAGCAAATGGGTCTCAACCGCTCTGTGACTTAGGGACTTCCCCTGCATGAGAAGACAGGCTCCGCTGGATCAAGCAGACCTGACCAATAGTGGGTCCAATGGTCAAGAAGGCAGTTTCTGCATGTGATGTAGAGGGAAGACAAATGGGGCATGTCAACCTGGGAAGATAGCCCATCTAGAAGGAGGAAAACTCTGGTCCTAAACCTCCGCTGCTTTTGCGGGATATCTTCAGGAGAAGAAAAAGCAAGGAGTAAACCCTACACAAATCTAAAGTAGAGTCCCTAAGATGGTTGGATGGCGCCTTTTACGCCTCCTTCCGGCAACTCCTGCAACCAAGCTGGTGCCAAATGTACTGCTCTGTTTTCCTTTAGACCCCATCAGCGAGGCCAACAGGGGGTCTTGTCGTGTGGGCAGCCCAGGACCTCCAGACACACTGTCTAGGCTTGCAAGCCAAGAACATCACTTCGGTGCTGTCTGACTTCACCCCTGGAGGTACACTCCATTGTCCCTCGAGACAGACGGACGCCAACAACACCTATAGCTGTGCTGCTGACGTGTCGCTACTTTCTCTATATCACCGCCAGGCCGCATACACACCATGCATTTAAAGCACAAACAATTTTGGGAACTGTAGTTTGTCAAAGCTGCTGGGGGAAACTAGGATTCCCAGCAAGGGACCAGCCGAGAATCTGACAAGAATTGCTTGCGTAGGACTTTTAGTAAGCAGGAGATAAATTATTTCCCTCCATAGCATCGAAATCCAAGCTATCATAGTTTTTTTAACCCGTTCTTGTTCAACAGTTCTCCTTTTATTCTCACAGCAATCCTAGGGGAGGTCAAGTTCACTGAAGGGGAATGGCTGGCCTTAAGGTTTTGTGGCAGAGCAGGGAGGCTGAACTTTACTCTCCCAGGTCAGCCAGTGTGCTAGCAGGGGCTGATGGGAATTGTAGTGCAGAACACCTGGAGGACGCCAAGTTGACAAAGACCGCCATACACTTGTCCCACTCCCCCCCCCCCCAATATGGCCATCAAACTTTAATACTTTAATACACCTGGCTGGTGTAAGCCAGGCTCCCTTAGCCACAGCCCCCATTCTGCCCCACGATATGGGGATAGCAACGATGGATTTTATTAGCATTGGAAGGATAATTTTAAATATATATATATTCATGAACCTTTTAAAAAAAAGTTAAAAAAGTTACATAAGACCAAAGTTTTTTAAAAAACAAAACAAAAACTCCCATCTTTTTAGTTACCCGAGCAGCAACGTTACCGCCCAACCGCAGCTACACAAAAAGTAAAGATTTCTCTGTTGTTTTCTATGGGTAGTTATCACTTCCGCCTCAGGGAAGGCCAAAAAGCCCCCAGCATCAAGCTGAAGTAAAAACAGCATCAAACTGGCTCCCTCCTTCAGATATTGGGTGGGTCACTTTAGATTTTTGGTCCGTTTTACTCCTTTGTTGCTGCGACATCACGTCTGGTTTAGCATCATGACACTAACGAAGATCACACAAGCCGCTACAGCCAAGTGACCAAAAAAAACACACCAGTATTGTGGGCAGCTGAGGCCAAGGGCTGTGAGGGCAATGAATGATGAACGGCATCTAAGCAATGCAATAAAACACTCTTTTTAAAAACACACACCAAGAAAATCACATGAAAGAAAGCAAGTATGTTTGACCCAGGCTTACAGACAGACCTGTCATGGAAGCTGCCCAGTCCTTAGCCGCTTTAACTCTTTGCTCGTTTCACATAAAAACAAGTGGACCTGTCCATCTACCCTCGCCCGCAACTATAAATAGTTCCACTGGAAATAGTGTCCACATTCCTAGGTTTGCCCCCCGTCATTGCCCAATAGATGCTTCTATTTGCAAACTCAAGCTATGAGAGTTTTCTTCTTCTTCTTCCCCCAAATCTTAGCTCTTCCAAAACCTAACAAAATGGGGGCAGGTGCTGGCCTTTGTCCATTCGCACTTCCTGAATTCTCTGCTCCTCCTGTATGTGCTCGGGTCCCTTAAGAACGCAGCAACTCATCTCTGCCTTCTCAGGCATGATACCCCACAACTCACCCCAAATCCACTGCAGGGCAGAACCAAAGACGATGCTTACCACTGGGGGTGCACAGCCCAGTTCCCCTTTGAGCAGGTCGTGTGGGGCCACGCAGGATCAGGTCCAAATTTTGGTGGGGCACGACAAAGTGCCTTCTCACATAAGACACCTCAAGTGAGTCCTGGCAGCAACAGTAGCCTGAATCGAGCACCGGCCGGCTAGGGGCAACCGTTTAGATCTATCACAATTACCTCAAGCGATGTTACGCCAGGCATTGTGGGAGCTTTAAACGGAGGCGCTCTGCTGCTTCTCTAAAGGGGGGCCGGGGTAGAAATCAGCAGTGGGCCCTGCTGGCGGGGCTGCAGCAGCTGCCTGATGGTGCCATCGGCCGAAGCTGGGGCTGCGACTAAAGGCTGCAGCGCTACCCAGAAAGAGGCACATGGTTCAAAGAAAATGCTGTGTTGCGGCCATGGAAAACCCATTCATTCACCCTCCTGGAAGCTCATCGAAACAGATCTTCCTGGGCTAGCTGCGACTCAAGACCCCTGTCTTAAAACAGACCCTTGGGCCTTGTTTTAGAGAAGTTCTGGCAGCTTGGTCCATGCTTTACACAGCTCAGGTTCCAGTTTCATTTGCCGTTTAGAAAAATTGGCTGAGGAAGACCCCCTGTGCAAAACCTCAGGCAGCCACTCCCAGCCAAGAGTCCTGGACTAGGCTAGATCGAAAACACAAGGCAGCTCCTTAGAAATCTTACGAGAATAGGTCCTTGACTATTTTCTTGGCACCGGCCTTCCCAAAGCAGAGGCAGTCCTGGAGATTGGCTGCTGGTCCACAGAACCGTAAAATCCAGGGTTGCAGAACTCCAGCAGCTTACAAGTCCCACCCCTTGCTAACTTCCATATCCGATGTAAAGGAGAGGACCGAGTCGAGCTGCCGGCCTTCCGTGCAGTCCAAGGAGGAGCAGGCCGGTTTCCCCGCAAGATTTGCCAGCGCCCGCTTCTCACTGCTTGCAGCTATAAACCACTTCCTCCTGCATGCACTGCTGGCATTCAACGTAGCAGCACCACTGCACCTGGCAATGGCAGGAGAAGGTCACCATGCGCGTCTGGATGTTGTAGCCCCGGCCGCAGCACATGCTGTCGCAGTTGGCCTCCCGGGAGCACGTCCTCCCGGCTGTGCCCACCGAATACCGGCTGGGCCGGCAGAAGCTGGGGGAGTCCTCCATGTAAACCAAGTCGGTGGGGCGGGGGCCGGCGGGGACTTTCGGCAAATGGCTGTGGGGCTGGGGGCTCGCCAGCTCCGACTGGCCCACCGCGTCGTTGGTGGCGCTGAAGACCTTGACGGCGCCGTCGTAGCGAAGCTTGAGGAGCTTCCCCGTCTCGTGGAATGGCGACAGCTGCTTCCAGCAGGTCCGGACGGCGCACGAGCCAGAAACCCCGTGGCATTTGCACGTGGTCTTGAGGCCGTTCTTCACGGCCTGCGGGAGGGAGAGAAAGACAGGCATTTGCTAGGGTCACGAGTGGAAAGCCAAAACGCTGCGAGGGAATAAAGGGGGAAAATCCTGAGGCCACTGAACAGTTGTGCACTCTTTTGCATTCATACCTCGGTTCTCGAACGCCTGGCGACTCGAACGGTTTGGCTCCTGAACGCCGCAAACCCAGAAGTAAGAAGTAACGTTTTTTGGAAGCTGAACATCCTGACATGGCTTCTGATTGGCTGCAGGAAGCTCCTGCAGCCAATCGGAAGCCATGCTTTGGTTTTTGAATGTTTTCAGAAGTCCAACAGATTTCCAGAATGGATTCCGTTTGAGAACTAAGGTATGACTGTATTTGTTTTTTAAAAATCTAGTCACAGTTGAACGGAAGTCCTCTTTATTTTTTCCATTTTTGTTATTACCTTTATCTCGTGTGCTCTCTCTTTATAATAATAATTTTATTGTTTGTACCCTCCCCCCTCCGGCTGGGTTGCCCTAGCCACTCCGGGCAGCTTCCAACAGATATAAAACAAAATAAAAACTCAGACGTTAATGTGCACCCTAACTGTATAAAACACACGTTTCCCTTATTCTGGACCCTGTCCACTACTAGCGTGCGTCCCTTGAAAGGTTCCCCATGTGATAAACATGGCCCTCGCCGTGAAAAATGATTCTGAGGCAGAGAGTTGGTACTCTCCAAAGAAAAGCTCTAGTGTCCTATTGCTTAATACACACTTGCGCCGTGCAACTGTGAAAAGGCACACAGCACAGAATATTCGTTCTCAGGGAAAGACAAAGATATGGCATTACCGGGCCTAGCTTGGCTCTTGAGGTGAAGGCTGGAGATTGGGGATAACCAGGGACAATATGCTTTTGCTACTCCTCTCTCTCTCTCTCTCTAGGCAAATTGTGTGGGTCCTCTGTCCTCACCTTGATGCCCACGTTCGTGTTGTGGATGTCCACCTTGGCGCGCAGGTCTTTCCCGACCTTCTTCTGGCCCAGGAAGTTTTTCAGGAACCTCGTGCTGTACTTGAGGTTGTCTCCGCACACTCCCCACTGCCACGCCTTGCGGTTCTCCAAGTCCGGAGAGTCGTCGCAGGTGCAGCGCTCCATGCGCCCAGCGCTGCAGGCCCGCGCAAGGGAATGGGTCAGAGCTGCCGAGGACACCGCGTACAGGAAGGCCGTTTCCTTGAAACCTGAGGGAGAGGAAGCCAGGGAACCCAGAGAAAAGGAAGTAAGAAAGAGTAGGAAAGTCAGTGTGGAAGAATGGCAAAGGTATCGGACTACAAACTGGGAAACCCGGGTTCAAATCCTGCTTGGCCATGAAGTTCACTGTGCGACCTTGGACAAGCCTAACCTTAACGTACCTCACAGGGTTTCTGTGAGGATTACATGAGGAGCGGGAGAACCATACATGCCACACTAAACGGCCTTGGCCCAGTATACCTGAAGGAGCGTCTCCACCACCATTGTTCAGCCCGGACACTGAGGTCCAGCTCTGAGGGCCTTCTGGCGGTTCCCTTACTTCGAGAAGTGAGGTTACAGGGAACCAGGCAGAGGGCCTTCTCAGTAGTGGCACCCGCCCTGTGGAACGCCCTCCCATCAGATGTCAAGGCAATAAACAACTATCTGACTTTTAGAAGACATCTGAAGGCATCTGAAGTTTAGGGAAGTTTTTAATGTTTAATTCTATTTTTAATATTCTGTTAGGAGCCGCTCAGAGTGGCTGGGGAAACCCAGCCAGATGGGCAGGGTATTATTATTATTATTATTATTATTAATAATAATAATAATAATAATGAGATCCTTGGAGCAAAAAGTAGGATAAAGGTAAAGGTAAAGGGACCCCTCACCATTAGGTCCGGTCGTGACCGACTCTGGGGTTGCGGCGCTTATCTCGCTTTATTGGCCGAGGGAGCCGGTGTACAGCTTCTGGGCCATGTGGCCAGCATGACTAAGCCGCTTCTGGCAAACCAGAGCAGCACACAGAAACACCGTTTACCTTCCCGCTGGAGCGGTACCTATTTATCTACTTGCACTTTGACGTGCTTTCGAACTGCTAGGTTGGCAGGAGCAGGGACCGAGCAACAGGAGCTCACCCCATCACGGGGATTCGAACCACCAACCTTCTGATCGGCAAGTCCTAGGCTCTGTGGTTTAACCCACAGTGCCACCCGCGTCCCGAAAAAACAAGTAGGATAGAACCGCAATAAATAAGCAACTGTTTTTTAACAGCAGCAGGCACCCTAGTTGCTCAGAGTAGCGAACAAGCCTGGCAAAGGTTTTCACAGGGGGTTCTACGTTATCACTTGATCAACTCTGGCCATAAGGTGTTCAGAAATGCAAACCTTTGAACCTCTACCCTGGTTTGCTTTTCTTTCTTCCATGATGGTGTTGGGGGGTGAGGAGAAAGGGGAAGACCCAAACGGAGAAAGCCTAGATTTCTCTCCCCACCCCAATTTTCGGAAGCTGACTGACAAGCAGGCACTCATACCTCGTTTCAGGAGGTCGGCCCGTCCGTCCAGACTGCAATTCCAGCGCTCGTTGCGAAACTGATACTGGCACTCCACAACCCCGAGACGGATGGCATCCCGTAGGGTCTCGGCCAGGCCTGGCTCTCGGCGGCAAAGCCTTTTCTGCTTACGGGATAAGCGAAGCAGGTCGCATTGCTTCAGGTGAGCCTTCCAGTGGGCAGGGTTGGTCGAGGGCCCCAGCAGAGGAAACTGAGTTAGCGCTTCCTTCCCAGTCAGGCTGAAGGGTAGAAGAAATAAGTTATGGCCTTAAACAGAGTAGAACCAGCAACAGCTATTTCCCTGCTGCAGATTAACATTGGCAAACCATCAATAATATACCCGTCCCTGGGATGTCTCCCAGGTGTGTACAGGTCTGGTTCACACATGCAAGTAAGAAATCAAGTGGTTCTCCATTTGACGAATGGCAAGGGAATGTGTGAACCGATTCCACTGAAAATTACAGCAGGCCAAGATGAACTAGGAAAGCTCTCTATGTAGTTATATGTGCAGTGCTCCCAAGATACACACTAGCTCTGATATGCAGAAGAATGAATTATTATTATTATTATTAGTGCATTTTTTCTTGGGGTACGCAGGGGTACGCATACTCCTAAACATTTTTTCTGAATCTAAGTTTGGCCTTATTGAGGGGCAGTATTTCAATATGAGTAGGAAATTGAGAACACCCCTAAACATTTTTTTTAAAAAAGCACATTATTATTATTATTATTATTATTATTATTATTCCAAGATTTGAATAGTGTCCAGAATGAAATCCCAAAGAAAGCCTTGACGGTATTTATGTAGGTGACTACAGTGGCAAGGATCCTCTATGCTGAGAAATGGAAGAAGGAGAGAACGCCCTCCAAGGAAGAATGTTTGATGAAAATCTTGGAATATCCAGAGATGGCAAAATTGACGGTGCTGATAAAAGATACAAATTTAGAACCTTTTAAAGAGGACTGGAAACCCTTTCTAGTCTATATCAAAAGTTACTTCCCATGTATGAAGACCACAGCAGGGTTTGAAATGTAAGAAAATAGCAGAATATATTAAGAAACGTGCTTGAGAAGATGAAATTAGGTAAAATGGAACCTTAAAACACAATTCTATGTAATTCGGGTTATAAACATCGATGTCACGTGAGCGGGAAGTCACTAGTTTTCTTGAATCGGAATGTAATTGTCGAGTAACAAATTCACTTTCTATATGGAAAAAACCCCCTATAATATTATTTAAAAATATAAAGCTGAGCTTGAGGGCTTGTGAGGAACCAGTTAAAGGAAATGTTCAGTATTAAGAGCTAGAGGAGGAAAAAATATAACCAAATTGCAACCCTCCAACTGACTCCCATGAGGTGGTACCTACATGGTTTGTTGAAGATGTATCTACAGGCGAAGAATCCCTCCTGATATCATACAGAATATGGGTGGCACCCAAAACACCTAGGAACATAGGAAGTTACCTTATACAGAGTCTAGCTACGTATTGTCTACATTGATCGATAGCAGCTCTTTTCTGGATAGGATAGCCCAGAGCATGGCTAGACTCACATACGTAGGAAGAACTTCCTGACAGTAAGAGCTGTTCGACAGTGGAATTTGCTGCCAAGGAGTGTGGTCGAGTCTCCTTCTTTGGAGGTCTTTAAGCAGAGGCTTGACAACCATATGTCAGGAGTGCTCTGATGGTGTTTCCTGCTTGGCAGGGGGTTGGACTCGATGGCCCTTGTGGTCTCTTCCAACTCTATGATTCTATGATTCTACGTCTTAAGTCAAATCAAGACAGGTCGACGTCAACACAGTATACATGGATGGAAGCTGCCAGCTTCTGCAAGCAAAACACAATTGCTAGGGTTTCAAGCACAGCTTGGTTTAGGAACCAATCCCGAAAGATTTCTAGACACAAGCTTGTTAGCTTAAAATCCCTGCATGGCTTGGGACCAGGATACCTAAAGGATGTTCTTCTCCAATACAACCTGCCCCTCCACTAAGGCCAGCTGTGGAAGTTCTCCTGCATACTTGCTACACCTTTCTGGTAATTGGCAGGAAAGTTAGAAAGCACCTTTTCCCCACGGCCTCACCTATGGAACTCCTTGCCCCAGGATGTTGCTCTTCCTCTATGGCATCGCACTACCGGTTTTGTCAGGCCTTTGGCCTCATTGCCGGTTGGCTTTTATGCTGCCCTCTTCCTCCTTTGGTTGTTTTTCCTTATAATTTTACTGGCTGCTGTGCTTGATATTTAATTGGTGCTATGAATAGCTTTTATCCTGTTGTTAGCTTCCTTGGGGAGTCTGGGACATGTCGTGAGTGATGTTATAAATATAATAAATTGGCCTTCTTGGTGTCTTCCCAGCCTTTACTGCTTATTAATATTGAACATCACCGACAAGCGTCTATTGAATCCAAACCAGGTATCTGTGACTGCACAAGCTTTACATTGTCCTAGTTGAGAGGAAGAAAGTATTTGGCCAACGAGACTGAAAAGTTAGGGAGGAAATATCAGTTACTCATGCAGGACACCACTCCTTTAACACCAACAATGGAAATTATTGCAACAGCTCACCCAATAAAGTTAACACACATCTGCCGGCCACTCCTTCCCTCAACCCCAAGACTTTGCTTAATCTTAAACCAGGGCCCAGCGCTGTCACCAATGTCATCGTTCTCACCAATTGAAGAGAACAACACCAGCATACAGCCAGCACAATAACAACTGTGATCAGCAGCGAAACCCTGAGCCAAGCTACAAATGAAAGGATGTACGACTGGTCCTATAAATAAATTTTAAAAGTCTAAAATGAAACGCATAGCCTTCAGGTCTGCAAAATTTGTTCCTTTTCACTACAGGCTATTTTTTGCAATTAAAACCCTGACCCCCAGCAAAGTTGCTTTGCCATCTGCAAAAGAACCAAAAGACAGTCCCCCCATATTTTATTCCCGTAAGTGGGAAAGCAGCTTGGGAGCAGGGATTGAAAAACCTGTGAGGGTGGGGGGAAGAGCTAAAATGCACAAGCCCCCTGCATAATAATAATAATAGTAGTAGTAGTAAAAATTTATTATTTATACCCCACCCATCTGGCTGGGTTTCCCTAGCCATTCTGGGTGGCCCCCAACTGAATATTAAAAACACAATAAAACATCAAACATTAAAAACTTCCCTAAACAGGGCTGCCTTCAGATATCCTTTAAAAGTCAGATAGTTGTTTATTGCCTTGACATCTGATGGGTGGGCGCCACTACCGAGAAGGCCCTCTACCTGGTTCCCTGTAACCTCATTCTTGCAGTGAGGGAACTGCCAGAAGGCCCTCGGAGCTGGACCTCAGTGTCTGGGCTCAATGATGGAGACACTCCTTCAGGTATACTGGGCCGAGGCTGTTTAGGGATTTAAAAGTCAGCTCCAACACTTTGAATTGTGCTCGGAAACGTACTAGGAGCCAATGCAGATCTCTCAGGACCGGTGTTATATGGTCTCAGTGGCCACTCCCAGTCACCAGTCTAGCTGCCGCATTCTGAATTAATTGCAGTTTCTGAGTCACCTTCAAAGGTAGCCCCACGTAGAGCCCATTGCAGTAGTCCAAGCAGGAGATAACTAGAGCATGCACCACTCTGGCAAGACAGTCTGCGGGCAGGTAGGGCCTCAGCCTGCGTACCAGATGGAGCTGGTAGACAGCTGCCCTGGACACAGAATCTTTGCTGCAATCAAATTCACAAACCATATTCCCCCCTTTTCACAATTAATTTGCCCCTGGGTTTGTCTTGGCAAGCAGGAAAAGCATGATCCCTTTATATTTCTCTCCCGATGTTCCCTTTAGTAGGGTAACTGGTGGTCGGCCGCTTCTTTTGCAATGCAAGAAGCCCAGTCCCAAAGCTGGACCCTTGCTGGACCCAACACAACACAGCTTGTCCCCTGAAGATGCTGTGCGATAGAACCTGTGATCTATCAAGCATGCCTTTGCCATCGTGCAGCCAAAAGGCCTCCAGCACTAGGAGAACAAGCCAACAGAGAGATGCTTATCGCTTGCCCTCCCTCCACAACCCCGGCAGTGGAATGCTCCTACCATCTCCACTCTCCAGAACTCTTCTTCCGGCCAGTGGGCGGCGGCGGTTAATCATTAAACGAGTAAATTTCCAAACTACCAAATCAAGATGGTAGCAGTTTCAAGGAGATGTAAGCCCTAGGTCGGGGTGGCACCCTTTTACAGCTGCAGTCCTTTTCCCTGCAACTCCATCCATCTCACTCCCAGATTTCTATCGGTTATGGAAGTAAAACAGGCCCCACCCCAAAAGAAGACAGTTGTTTCTACACGCTTAGTGGACTCCAGGGACCCTTGAACAAGGCATCCAGACGTCCTTCCCGGTCACTCATCTCTTCTTCTCTTTTACATCTGCAGGTGAGGCAGTGGAAGAGCTGGACCGGTGTCTTGCCTCGATAATGATGAGTGCCAACCACCTGAAACCCAATCCAGATAAGACTGAAGCACTGTTTGTGGGTGGTACCCTATACCAGATCGCTGGGAGGCTGCCTGCTCTTGATGGAGTTGCACTTCCTCTGAAGGAGTGAGTTCGTAGCTTGGGATTATCTAATCAAATACCTCTATTGGCACCACAGTATAATAATAATAATATTTATTTATTTATGTATACCCTACCCATCTGGCTGGGCTTCCCCAGCCACTCTGGGCGGCTCCCAACAAAATATTAAAATACAGTAATGCATCAAACATTAAAAGCTTCCCTAAACAGGGCTGCCTTCAGATGTTTTCTAAAAGTCTGGTAGTTGATGTTCTTTTTGACATCTGGTGGGAGGGCGTTCCACAGGCCGGGTGCCACTACCAAGAAGGCCCTCTGCCTGGTTCCCTGTAACTTGGCTTCTTGCAGCGAGAGAACCGCCAGAAGGCCCTTGGCGCTGGACCTCAGGGTCCGGGCAGAACGATGGGGGTGGAGACGCTCCTTCAGGTATACTGGACCGAGGCTGTTTAGGGCTTTCAAGGTCAGCACCAACACTTTGAATTGTGCTCGGAAACATACTGGGAGCCAATGTAGTATAAACATTTAAGGTCACTGGGATAATTAAAGGACAAGGGTGAAGCTGTCAAGGGCCATAAGGCCACACTGTGATCGTGTGCACTTAGACATTCTGCTTTGCCCTGTCTATTCCCTGAAAGGATAGTTCGTTGGGATCCCTTTTGGGTAAAATTGTGGCTAAAAGGGAAGCTACTAAAACAGTAATATCTTTTGTCCCGATCTGCCAGGAGAAACCTCATTTGACGATTTCTCCGAGTTATAGGCCGGAGGTCCGACATTTTGCTCAGCAACAGTCGGCGAGGTCTACTGCGTAGAGAGCAATCAAAGATAATGTGGTCCATTGAATCTGGTACTCTGTGGTTGAGGGCACAGAAGACAGGCTTGATATGGAGTACAGTGGTACCTCGGGTTAAGTACTTAATTCGTTCCAGAGGTCTGTACTTAACCTGAAACTGTTCTTAACCTGAAGCACCACTTTAGCTAATAGGGCCTCCCGCTGCTGCCGCACCACCGGAGCACGATTTCTGTTCTCATCCTGAAGCAAAGTTCTTAACCTGAGGTAATATTTCTGGGTTAGCAGAGTCTGTAGCCTGAAGCGTATGTAACCTGAGGTACCACTGTATGTGAGAATCTACCTTTGGTCACCATGGAGGGGAAGGCATTTAATCTCAGGAGCATAAAGGCTCTTTGATGGGAAGGCAGCAGTAGCTTGGGGTTATTCCTGGATCCTTTACCGTTACCTAAGACTCAGGTGGCCTCCATGGCACGGTGTGCCTTCCATCAGCTTTGGCTGGCGGAAAAGCCTAACTACTGTTGTCTATAACTCTGTTGAGGAGGGGCGGGGTTATTGGGTTGATTTTGTTTTTATTAAGTATTTTGTGTTTTTAGATTATGATTTTACGTTATAACCGCTGCTATAGGGCGGTATACAAATTTAATGAACAACAACAGAGAAGCAGAGCTGTCTGGCAAGGTGCCAACTCCATTACAGTGGTACCTCAGGTTAAGTACTTAATTTGTTCCGGAGGTCCGTACTTAACCTGAAACTGTTCTTAACCTGAAGCACCACTTTAGTGAATGGGGCCTCCCGCTGCTGCCGCGCCGCCAGAGCATGATTTCTGTTCTCATCCTGAAGCAAAGTTCTTAACCTGAAGCACTATTTCTGGGTTAACGGAGTCTGTAACCTGAAGCGTATGTAACCCGAGGTACCACTGTATTTCTTTCCTGCCCCACGAACACCATTGGTGACTGCCACCCCACAATAATGGCTACAATGCCAGTGCCTGTTGATGCTCCAAGACCTCCGCACTGCAGCGCATGATGGGAATAGGGAGATCTGGGCACAGAAAGTCCGTCTTGGGTTTTCTACAAAGAAGATGTTCTGACATCAAACTACAGGCCATCCCACTAGCTCCCTTTTGAGATCAAGTCAGTGGTTTTGCCCTACTAAAGCAAGGCAAGTGTCAAGGGTGATAGCCGTGCTGGATGTTACTGGAATAGATTGCCCCAATTATATATATAAGGTACAAGACCCCTGGGCAGTTAAGTCCAGTCAAAGGTGACTATGGGGTTGCGACAATCATCTCACTTTCAGGATGAGGGAGCTGGCGTTTGTCCGCAGATTTCTGGGTCACGTGGCCAGCATGACTAAACTGCTTCTTACACAACAGGACACCATGACAGAAGCCAGAGCGCATGGAAACGCCGTTTACCTTCCCGCCGCAGCGGTACCTATTTATCTACTTGCACTGGTGTGCTTTTGAACTGCTAGGTTGGCAGGAGCTGGGACAGAGCAACAGGAGCTCAACCCGTTGCAGGGATTCGAACTCCCGACCTTCTGATCGACAAGCCCAAGGGGCTCAGTGGGTGAGCTTCCGTTGCTCGGTCCCTGCTCCTGCCCACCTAGCAGTTCGAAAGCACACTAGTGTGAGTAGATAAACAGGTACTGCTCTGGCGGGAAGGTAAACGGTGTTTCTGCGCACTGCTCTAGTTCGCCAGAAGCAGCTTAGTCATGCTGGCCACATGGACTGTGGACAAATGCCGGCTCCCTCAGTCAGTAAAGCGAGATGAGCACCGCAACCCCAGAGTCGTCCGCAACTGGACTTAACAGTCAGGGGTCCCTTTACCTTTACCTACTTTGCAACCTCAGCAAGTTTGTCAGACAGAGAGAGTGCTGGTCAGGATTAAAAGGCATCCTCATCACTCTTCAGGTACTGAGAACGCAACACAGGTGCCCAGAACTTCCTGCACTGCAGGAGAAGAATGGACAAGTTCACGGAAGATCACCTGCCATTACTCAGTTTCTTGTTGTGGCTGAGAAACACCTAATAAGAGTTCCACCCAAAAACGACAGTCTGAAGACCAACGCACCGTTTCTGACAAACAGCTGGGTGAAATGTTCCGAGAATTAAAGGCAGGCAGCTGTCACAAGGCTGCTGCTCCCTTAAGTTGCTTAAACAACCAAAGGCAATAAGGCACCTAAGGCAATAACCAATATTTGTTTTGTGTTAAGGAAATGATAGCTGGAAGGAAAAGGGAATATTGCCTCTTCTTGCTTAGCAGAAGTCCCGATGAGTGTGTGTTTGTGTGTGTGTGTACACTTCCTGAAAGGAGAAAAATCCCATTTGGTATCCTGTCCATTCCAGGATTTTCCCTGCAATTAAAAGTGGCTTCTGACCCTGCTAGGGCCGCTCTCCCCGCCCCCACAAAAATTAAAAAACCGAACGAAACAGGTGCCCCAACAGTATTGAGCAGAGACTGTCGAATCTGGGAAGAGGAGAACCAAGACTCTGAAAAAACACAACAGGATGCCAACGCGCAGGCAGAGTCTAAAACTTAACGCAAACTCCAGAGCACACTTTCATTGCTGGTGGATTAGCCAGAATCCAGAGATACCCTGCAGCTTCTTAAGAAACCCTCCTGTTTTGACGTATTTCCCCCTTGGTTTGACTTCATCCCCAGAGGCGCACTCCATTGTCTCTCAAGACTGATGGATGTCAACATGAGCACCGCCATGCTAACTGGAGCTGATAGGAGTTGTAGTCCAATACAACTAGAGGGTGCCATGCTGGCAAAGACTGATGGGACTTGATGCTTCAAAGAGGAAAAAACAACAACATGCCAATCTAAGTGACATGTGCTCTCAAGAACTGCCAGTCCCAGAATTCCATCGTCTTCACTGGCAATCCCTACACATAGACAAGAGGACAACTGAGGACACTGGGAGCCAGCATTGTTGATAGGATTCACAGGTGAGTAAATTATAGAATCATAGAATTGTAGAGTTCGAAGGGACCCCGGGGTCATCCAGCCCAACCCGCTGCAAAGTAGAAATCTCAACTTAGGTCACTGGTTTCCACAGAGAACAGGTAAACACGGACAAGAGAGCTCAGGAGTAAGGAGCAATGGGTGGTATTCAACAAGTTTTAGTCTAGTCGTTGGACTAGTCCACTGTTTCCCAAACTTGGGTCTCCAGCTGCTTTTGGACTACAATTCCCATCATGCCTGACAACTGGTCTTGCTAGCTAGGGATGATGGGAGTTGTAGTCCAAAAGAAGCTGGAGACCTAGTGCAATGATTTCAATGGTTCTGCTATGAGTAAAACGAAGTTACGTACCACCCAGTGCCTAAAGAGCCTGGTATTAGTGAGTACAGTGGTGCCCCGCAAGACGAATGCCTCACAAGACCAAAAACCCGCTAGACGAAAGGGTTTTCCGTTTTTCGATGCGCTTCGCAGGACGAATTTCCCTATGGGCTTGCTTCGCAAGACGAAAATGTCTTGCGAGTCTTGAGATTTTTTTCGCTTCCCCCCCCCTTTTCTAATCCGCTAATCCGCTAATAGCCTTTTAGCCACTAAGCCGCTAAGCCTTTAATAGCTGCTAAACCGCTAATAGCGCTAATCCGCTAAGAGGGTTGCTTCGCAAGACGAAAAAACCGCTAGACGAAGAGACTCGCGGAACGGATTAATTTTGTCTTGCGAGGCACCACTGTATGCTGCCACGTGTGGTTGTAAATATGAACTTGGGCAGCCAGGAAAATAGGTTTAAACAAAAGGATTGACTGTGAATCCTCCAGTCTTCCAAAACATACATACAAGGCGTTTTTTTGGGGGGGGGGAACGGGACCTAGGTTTACAAATCTGTACTAAGTCCAGGGAAATGATGCCCAGGCACTTCTAGAGTTGTGCGGTACCTTTAAATGCAAAAGAAGCAGGTTTCATCAAGTTGAGCAAAGCTTCTTCTATCTCAGCTATGGAGAGAACTCAACCTCTGAGCTTAAAAAGGAGACGAGTTGCCAGGAGAAAGTTGCCGGCTTTTTTTCACCAGCCTCTCTCCTCTCTTGTGTCATTAAGCAGCAATTCAATTTGTGTAACGAGAGAGCAAGCGCTATCACTTTTCTCCAGGCCATCAAAAGGCTGTTTTATCTGCAAAAATTCTGGTTTGATGGGGGCCAGGCCAGTGTTTCTTTTATTTATTTTTTATACCGCCCTTCATCCGAAGATCAGTTTAAATATAAAAACACAAAAATCTATAGCATAATAACAAACAGAAACAATAACCACTACCCCACACACATAGTTTAAAAGACGGCTTAATTAGCCAAAGGCTCATTATGCTAGGAGCAATTTGTACTTGTGTTAACAGCGTTTATGATGGCTCTGTTGGCTTTCAGGCACAACTCAAAAGCGCTAGGTCTGACCCAATACTTACTACAACACATCCTCATCTACAGACCATTGTGATTCTTGTGCATCACTTCCTTAACCTACCACTAAGAGCTGGACCATAATGAAGGCTGATCGCCAAAGAATTCATGCTTTTGAATTATGGTGCTGGAGGAGACTCTTGAGAGTCCCGTGGACTGCAAGAAGATCAAACGTATCCATTCTTAAGGAAATCAGCCCTGAGTGCTCACTGGAAGGACAGATCCTGAAGCTGAGGCTCCAATACTTTGGGCCACCTCATGAGAAGAGAAGACTCCCTGGAAAAGACCCTGATGTTGGGAAAGATTGAGGGCACTAGGAGAAGGGGACGACAGAGGATGAGATGGTTGGACAGTGTTCTCGAAGCTACGAACATGAGTCTGACCAAACTGCGGGAGGCAGTGGAAGACAGGAGTGCCTGGCGTGCTCTGGTCCATGGGGTCACGAAGAGTCGGGCACGACTAAACAACAACAAAACTTCAGATGCGGAAAGGCTCCTCCTTGGCCCTACATGTTTATGTCCTCTTAAAATGGCAATGGCACACACCTGAAAGGGGCCGAAACTTAGTTCCAGCTGAAAAAAAAAGGCCTGGTTATGAGGCTCCCTCTGCTGAACAGGAACTATGAAACCTAACATTTAGCACTTATCAAGTATTTCACACAAATTAATGCTTACAACAACTGCCCTTTTAAATGGCAGGCTAGTATTATTTGTCCCATATTGGAAGAGCACAGGTCTTGAACTTAGGGGGCCTTAGGCGATTAATTACAGTGGAACCTCGGTTTTCGAGCATCTCGGAAGCCAAACAATTTGGAACCTGAACGCCGAAAACCCAGAATTGCTTCTGTTTTCAAACGTTTTTTGGAAGTTGAACGGCCTCCGGGGAGTTTTCTTCTCCGCCCATCCCCCCCATTGACTTTGCGACCAGCCCATTCATCCTCGGTTTTCGAACTTTTCAGAAGCCAAACGGTCTTCTGGAACGGATTACGTTCGAAAACTGAGGTTCCACTGTATTGGATTTATGATTTGAAATTAGGGACTTGCCAACTCACAGTCTATCTTACACCCTACACCAATAGTTTGGGCCTGCCTTTGTAAGGATCGGCTTGAGAGCATTTGTTTTCTGCCTTTTTCTTTTTAAAAAGAATGTTATACAGTATATACTCTGTTTCCCAGTCTAAGACTCTACACTGAAGTAAGGTAAAGGTAAAGGGACCCCTGACCATGAGGTCCAGTCGTGACCGACTCTGGGGTTGTGGCGCTCATCTCGCTTTATTGGCCAAGAGAGCTGGCGTACAGCTTCCGGGTCATGTGGCCAGCATGACTAAGCTGCTTCTTGGCAAACCAGAGCAGCGCACGGAAACGCCGTTTACCTTCCCGCCAGAGCGGTACCTATTTATCTACTTGCACTTTGACGTGCTTTCGAACTGCTAGGTTGAAATGGGAGCCATGGGAGCTCACCCCATGGCAGGGATTCGAACCGCCGACCTTCTGATCGCCAAATCCTAGACTCTGTGGTTTAACCCACACCGCCACCCGTGTCCCTTACACTGAAGTAGGCTATAATAAATTCCTGGCATGTGCTGCTCGCAGGATAATAAAACACAGGATGCGAAAAGCACCCAAACAGAAGTATTTCATCCATTTGGCCTTAGAATGGATGGCCAGCTATATTCCTGGGCTTCTGATTAAGAAAGTGCATATCGCAACCCACCCTCACTGTGCATCTAAGGATGAGGGTTATTCAGTTGTACCCGTGGAACTTTGCAACTTGTTTGAGTTTCCAAGCTTGCTTTTCACTCTGGGGTGCAACTTACGGTAACACATGCTTGCAAAAGGTTCAGATGCTCAAGCTTGCCCAGGAATCACAAAACCTTTCTCCTGAAGAATCCTCGGTATGTGGAGGCAGAGTGGAGCCACTCGCCTGTGAGGAAAAGGCACTTTGCACAAACTCAGGAGCACTCTTATCACTTCCCACAGCCAAAACAAGTTCCTTGTACAGTGGTAAGGTAAAAAGGTAAAGGGACCCCTGACCATTCGTCCAGTTGTGGACGAATCTGGGGTTACGGCGCTCATCTCGCTTTATTGGCCAAGGGAGCCGGCGTACAGCTTCCGGGTCATGTGGCCAGCATGACTAAGCCGCTTCTGGCGAACCAGAGCAGCGCACGGAAACGCAGTTTACCTTCCCGCCGGGAAACTTGCACTTTTGATGTGCTTTCAAACTGCTAGGTTGGCAGGAGCAGGGACCGAGCAACAGGAGCTCACACTGTCGCGGGGATTTGAACCGCCAACCTTCTGATCGGCAAGTCCTAGGCTCTGTGGTTTAACCCACAGCGCCACCCGCGTCCCTTTGTACAGTGGTACCTCAGGTTAAGAACTTATTTCTTTCCAGAGGTCCATTCTTAACCTGAAACTGTTCTTAACCTGAAACACCACTTTAGCTAATGGGGCCTCCTGCTGCCGCCTGAGCACAATTTCTGTTCTCATCCTGAAGTTCTTAATCCGAGGTACTATTTCTGGGTTAGCAGAGTCTATAACCTGACGCGTCTGTAACCTGAAGCGTATGTAACCCGAGGTACCACTGTATAAGGAATGCAGATGACCCTTGTACATGCATATGGAATCCACCTCAAAATTCTGAACTTTTGAAATTCAAGATTTCACATTCTTAGTGTTTTCCCAACTTTGTAAAGTACATCTTTCTCAGAAATCTGATTGACAAGTTGTTGTTTTTTCTGGTTCAGCCCCAGGGGTGCCAAGTTTGAAACTCAGAATTTTGTATATTTACTCACAGAAATAAGAAGCAATGAGTATTATTTAAAGTGTGCATAGGGTTGCAGTCTTAGATTCAGTATTTCCCCTAAGGCTGCACTTATCTAGGCGTAACACAGAAGCCAGCCCCAATGAATGGATCACATAGCATGTGTCTATTTGAATCATTTTTAAGGCCTTCTTACAAATGAAGAATGAGACTATTCTAATTATATTTGGTGTTATTTCCAGAGCTCCCTCGTTCTGTTTGGGGGAGAGGGGAAGAACTGATGTACTAATCTAACCTGATGTAGAAGTTGACTGTTCAAAATTCAGACTGCAAAAAGGGAAGCTTGATATTTTTTTCGCAATGGAAGAAACAACATTTCAAGCAGAGGTGCAAACTCAGAACTGAAAGGTAATACATATAGTATAATAAGATCAGCAAAAATAATATTGTGATCCACCATTATATTAAAAAAAATAGCCCGCAGTGGAGCACCATTTCTTTCTTTATCAAAACACAACAACACTTGCATTTGCCAGTGCAGAGTTAAGAACTTAGTTTTGCAAAATGGAAGCTTACGTTTTGAGAATCCAAAACTTGCATGTAAAGCAAAAAGAGAGAAACGAAACAAGAATCCCACACGCTGTCATCAAGAAGGGTTCGATATACATTGTTTATCGCCTCGGAATATTGGAATGTTGACAGCACAATCCCATGGATGTTACTCTTAAGACAGTATTGCCAAGTTAAGTGGAGCTCAGTGTCAAATATGTGTGCGACCGTAAGTTTTCCGTTTCAAGAGCTGGAACTCACATGCTTTTCACCCCAAAGCAGGAGAGTCATTTGATACTTCAAACACACAAATATGCACCCTTGAAATCCAAGTCTTAAGAAACCCAGATTTTCACACAACTGCGTTTCAAGACAGAGGCACGCACACACATGTCCATCCCTCAGTTTTGCACCCGTTCCAGTACAAACCCAGATGTTGTAAAACAGCATCCATGTGATCCTTGTGTTTACTGGAAAGACCAGGGAAGGATAAGCAGGTGAAGAACTCTTTGTGGATTAAGAGACATAAAATATGCAATTGATTGCAAGATGACGCATGGAACTGCTTTGAAATGGGGCATTTCCCTTCTTAAACCAGACCATAGAGCTCCTGTTTACATACAGATAATAATAATGAGACCCTTACTCTAAGGGTCATGGGTTCAAATCCCACGTTGGGCAAAAGATTCCTGCATTACAGGGGGCTGGGCTGGATGACCTTTGTGGTCCCTTCCAACTGTATAATTCTATGATGAATATAATGAAGACATTTGTCTCCCCCCCTCCACAGGTCAACCTGCATATTACGTCCCAAGCACAGCAGAACAAACTCACCCATACTTCAACTAGCAAGAGTTATGGATAAAGCTTTTTTTAAAAAAAGAAATAAACAGAGACAAGCGAACTCCAGAATATGTATGTCAGTCATACAAACCCTAAACATCACCAGGTTGAATGCAAGCGGTTTCAAATTCAGACAAAAATGGAGAAAGGAAAGATTGGAATATCAACCTCTGTGCAAAAACAGTTACATTCACACATGCATGCACGAAAACATCGCCTGCATTGAAAACTCCAGTCTTGAATATTTACACTGACAGATCTCTTCCCGCCCCCAAATTGTTGTTGTGCAAAGCAACATCACTTTTCTATCAACTGCTCCGATGCATTTTGCAAATGAAAGAGATTTCTGCTGGTAGAGATCTGCTGCTACAAGTGGAAACACAAGCTCACTAAACAGCGGCAGGAGGAGGGGAGGAACAGAATCTCATTCTGCAACACCCCTAAAATGCATGCAGGACCCAGGAGGCTGGACCCTTCAATGCTCCCACATTTTCCCAGTGCATGTGCACGAGCCAGTGTCTCAACTATGTGCAACAACCTAGCAGCTGGTGTGCAGCAGGATCCCGGATTCTGCGGGGCTGGCTTGAAGTGTGTTTAGGATCGCAGCCAGGTCGTGAAGCTGTAATCCACAAGGCAAGTTAACCCAGCAGATTGGCTAACCGAAGAAAAAGACCTTCGAAAACAAGATGCAAAGTGAAGAAGAGGAGCGCGTGAACTTTGAAAAGCAGGGCGAGGAAGTGAAGAAAAGTCGAAAGCTAAGGGAGGAAAAGAAAAGCAAAACGAGAAGGAAAAGGTAGAATTTGCGCACAGGAATGGAAGGAACTTCAAAACAGAAGAGCCGGGATCGCACACAAAAAAAAAAAAAAGGGAAAGAGACTAATAATTGTATAGTTGATGTAAAAATATGCAGGGATTTATGTATGCAAAATGAGCCACGGAAAGAGAATAAGTCATTGATATTTTAAGGTTGCTTAAATGCATATTTCAAAATGCAAAACAGAAAATAATAATATAAAATTATACAACAAAAAAGAGAAACTACAGACAAAAAAAGGAGTGTAAGTGCAAAAAAGGGAGGGGAAATCTCACCAAAAAATTGGGGAAGGGAAAATGTAAGGGAAATTGCATGCGGAAAGTCTGAGCAAGCCCGATCGCGCAAAAGGGGGAGAAGCGAAGCGCCGCTGACCCGAAATACGCGTCCACCTGCAGGAGCAGCAGGCAGCAAGCGGCCGCGGCGACCGAGACGCGCAGGGGCGGCGGCGGCGGCGGCAGCAGCAGAGGCTTCTCCGGCGGGCGCATGTTGCCGGCCGCTGCTCCTGCGTCGCGATCCTCCGCCGTCTCCCGGGCTCGGCATGGCGCTGCGCAATCGGCGCCCGGGCGCCTCGGCAGCCCGTTAAAAAGGGCACCTGGCGGGGCGGGAGGGGCGCGCCCTCCCTCGGCCCCGCCCCCCAGCGGGAAGGTGAGAGGCAAAGGGCCGCCCGGGGTGGGATGGGGTGCGGGGCGGAGACCTCGCCAGAGGCGCCCGGAGATCCTGGGACTGGCCCTCGCGTCCAGGGAAGGAAGGAGAACGTCGAAGGGAAGCGCGGGAAGGGCGCCCCTGACCATGTGCAGAGTGCGCTCTCTTCTGGCGCCTACCCTCTCCGCGGTGTAACAGCACAGCATCATGCTGAAGAATCAATGCCGGATTTATGTATAAGCTAAACAAACTACAGTGGTACCTCGGGTTAAGTACTTAATTCGTTCCGGAGGTCCGTTCTTAACCGGAAACTGTTCTTAACCTGGAACACCACTTTAGCTAATGGGGCCTCCTCCTGCTGCCGCTGCGCCGCCGGAGCACAATTTCTGTTCTCATCCAGAAGCAAAGTTCTTAACCTGAAGCAGTATTTCTGGGTTAGCAGAGTCTGTAACCTGAAGCGTATGTAACCTGAGGTACCACTGTATAGCTTAGGGCCCCACTCTCTTGGGGCCCCCCCTAAAAAAAAATTAAAGGAAAAAACTGGATGTACATTTCCAAAATACAGTCATACCTCGGGTTGAAGGTGCTTCAGGATGAGCGCGTTCGAGTTGCGCTCCGCGGCAACCCAGAAGTAACGGAGCACGTTACTTCCGGGTTTTGCCACTTGCGCATGCGCAGACGCTCAAAATGATGTCGCGCGCATGCGCAGAAGCGGCGAAAAGCAACACGCACATGCGCTGACGTGCCGTCGCTGGTTACGTTTGCTTCTAGATCCGAACAGGGCTCCAGAACGGATCGTGCATCTAGAGGTACCACTGTATAAGATAAAAAACAAATAAAATAAAGCCTACATAGAGTAACAGTGTTTTGTGTTGTGTCGACTCCTGTGATGTAGGTAATGGGCCCCGCCTGCTCCCTAAAATATCACTGGAAGATGTTGGACTTTTTGGAGCTAGCCGACCTGACTGGAAGGATCCGCGACCAGAAAGAAGAGGAATATCAAGAAGATTGGAATAAATTTAAGGATTGTTTAAATAAATAAAGGTAAAGGTACCCCTGCCCGTACGGGCCAGTCTTGCCAGACTCTAGGGTTGTGCGCCCATCTCACTCAAGAGGCTGGGGACCAGCGCTGTCTGGAGACACTTCTGGGTCACATGGCCAGCGTGACAAGCTGCATCTGGCGAGCCAGCGCAGCACACGGAAACACCGTTTACCTTCCCGCTGGTAAGGGGTCCCTATTTATCTACTTGCACCCGGGGGTGCTTTCGAACTGCTAGGTTGGCAGGCGCTGGGACCGAGCAACGGGAGCGCACCCCGCCGTGGGGATTCGAACCGCCGACCTTTCGATCGGCAAGCCCTAGGCGCTGAGGCTTTTACCCACAGCGCCACCCGCGTCCCCGTTTAAATAAATATTGTAATATAAATAATTAGAAGTCATTTGAAAGTACCAAATAGGCCTAGGATTAAATGAGGATGCGATTGTGAGTAAGTTAGATTTAGAATAGTAGGAAATGAGAATAAGATAGTTAATTGCTGGAATTAATTTTAGTTAAGAATGTTACTGGAGAGCTGTTACCTGCAGATATAATGAAATTCAAAAGGGAGGGATCTGAGGAGGTCAATTAACAATGTAAGAGAAATTGGGTTTTTTTCTTTAAGGGATAGGTGTTTAAGATCCCATTTTGGCTTTTGTTTTTGTTCAACATTGTATTGTGTTTTCTTTGTGTGTATTCTTTTCTTTTTTCTATGTCATATTTGTTATAACTGTGGGAAATTTATTTTTAAAAAATTGGGGAAAAAATAAAATCACTGGTTTGCTCATTTCTATATATAGGGTGCCTGCATTCTGCATGGACTGGTTGCATGACAACATGTGCCAATGGCTTTAGATACCTATTAGGTCCAGAAATTACTATATAGCATATATTCAACACAAAAAACCAGCGACAATTTGTTGCTGACAAAGGACAGCTGGACATATAAAGAGCCCTGTTACCTTCCGTAGCTTAGGGCCTCCTCAAACCTAAATCTGGCCCTGGGAGGGAGGGATATGTTTTCTGCTTTGCAGAAGTTATGTTCCCCACGCTGATTCCCATGCACATTTTGGGATCGTGGCCCTGAAAAGGCACTTTTTTCAGGGGGGGGGCGAGATTTCATTGTGAAATTGCGCAAGGTTACAGCAACCAAAATGGCCGCCGTTCTCTCGTGGAAAAATAGGGTGTCCCATTTTTCCCTGGGATGCTTGCAGAGTATTGGGCCCCCATATGCACTATACATTTAAAGCATCATCATTTAAAGCACTTTAAACAGTTACGGTTTCCCCCAAAATGGGTTTAACAGTTAATCTTTCTTTCCAGGGAACTCTGGAAATTGTAGCTCTGTGAAGGGAATGGGGGTCTCCTAGCAACTCTCAGCACCCACAGTTCCCGGGACCCTTTCAGGGGAAGCCATGACTGTTTAAAATATGATACTTATTTATATGTGTAGTGCACCCTAATGGTAGCCAAGAGAGGGATACTGATGAATTGGAAGAACAGAGATACGATGCCCCTTAATTAGTGGCTTGACAACAGGACATCATCGGCAATATATGAACAGTTTATAGATACAGACTTTGGATAAATGCAATGATATTTGGAATGAGTTTACAGAGGATATATTAGGTTATTGACAATTGTATGTGTATTAGAATAAGAATATACATACCTGTATGGTAATGTAGAGGGGCGCGGGTAGTGCTGTGGGTTAAACCACAGCTCCCGTTGCTCAGTCCCTGCTCCTGCCAACCTAGCAATTCAAAAGCACATCAAAGTGCAAGTAGATAAATAGGTACCGCTCTGGTGGGAAGGTAAACGGCGTTTCCCTGCGCTACTCTGGTTCGCCAGAAGCGGTTTAGTCATGCTGGCCACATGACCCGGAAGCTGTATGCCGGCTCCCTCGGCCAGTAAAGCGAGATGAGCGCCGCAACCCCAGAGTCGGCCACAACTGGACCTAATGGTCAGGGGTCCCTTTACCTTTATATTAATGTATGGTAATGTAACTGTCTTTTTTCTTTTTTTTCTCTCATTCATTTCTTCCTTTCTTTTCTCACTCTTTATAAATGAAACGCTTCCAATAAAATATTAATAATGATAAAACATTACCCATACCTGTCAATGTATGAAACTCAGAGATATATGTTTTTCATCTTTCCCATGACCGAAAAGCCTGCTTCCTTTATTCCTGCAACTTTCTCCTAGGTTTAAGTCAAACTAAGAAAACTATGTGTTCCTTCCGTTGTTGGGGGTGTGATGACATGACAGACATCCTCTCCCCAGTTTGACAGCACAAATCAGCTCTCCACATTGCATTTGGTCCTTGCCGCTGGAGGCATGATGCAGGTTTCAAAAGGTAAAAGACACTTGGATGGTTAAGTCCACTCAAAGGCAACTATGGGGTTGTGGTGCTCATCTCGCTTTCAGGCCTTTGTCGACAGACAGCTTTCCAGGTCATGTGGCCAGCATGACTAAAACGCTTCTCATGCAACGGGACACCGTGATGGAAACCAGAGCGCACGAAAACGCCATTTACCTTCCCACCGCAATGGTTCTTATTTATCTACTTGCACTGGTATGCTTTCAAACTGCTAGGTTGGCAGGAGCTGGGACAGAGCAACGGGAGCTCACCATGTCACGGGATTCGAACCGCCGGCCTTCTGATCGGCAAGCCCAAGAGACTCAGTGGTTTAGACCACAGCGCCACCCGCTCTCTCTACACATCACATTTGGTCCTTGTCGCTGTAGGCATCATGCACACATGGCAGGTGAACTCTGGTGATGCTTCCATGGACACCAAGAGCACACCTGTCTTCTCGACACTGCTCTTTTATTTTGCGTTCTGTATGTTTTCCTCCTCTCCTGCGCTGAGTGTGCGTCGGATCTGGCAGCCGTTCTGCTGGCTCCAGCTGCAACACAGCATGAGTGGAGCATGGCTCCGTCATTCTTGCCCATCCTTCGAAAAATTCCAGCAAAAAAATAACGTCGCGCTTTGTGACCCAACCTGATGCAATTCAAGCACTGGTGGGATGCAAACAGGGCCCCTCCCAAGCCGCTCTTCATGACTGGACAGGCTCCGAGGAGAGAAGGAGGTCCTATAGGTGATGAGGAACTATATGTAGGTGACTAGGTATACGATACGATAATCTTTATTGTCATTGTCCCATACAGAACAACGAAATTGGGGGGAAAATCTACATAAGACATTCAAAACCAACAAGCCTGCTATCCCAGCTATCCCAACCTGGTTAGCCCCCTAAAAACTCTGATACCCCATTTTTAAAATACAATACACCCCCATAGAAACTCCTTACATTGCGTTTAAAACCAAAATTGCATTTGGATAGAAACTGTTTCTCAGGCCGCTAGTCCTAGTCTTTATAACCCTGTACTTTCTTCGAGAAGGCAGAAGCTGAAAGAGATCATTTCCGGGGTGCGCACTATCCTGTGCTGTCTCTGCAGCTTTCTTATAGCACCTGGAAGCACAGATTTGATCCAAAATGATTTCTCCCTCCCTCCAGCAGCCCTTTGCATCTCTGTGCTGCCCGTGAAGGAAAGAAATATCTCTCCTCCAAACATAGCATAGTGTCATTGGTCTTGTCCCCTGCTAGTGGGAGCAATCTGTGCCAACTTTTTAAAACCTGCTGAAAACTTCTATTCTGCCAGGGATATGCATAGGCTAGTATGTGGGGCTGGGCAATATATTGATATATCGTCCAAAACCGGTTTGAAGTCTGTATTGTGATATCGGTTTCATAATTTTTGACCTGGCAATATTTCGTGAATCACAATTGTGTGTGTGTGTGTGTGTGTGTGTGTGCCCTATGCAAAAATCACAATGTGGGAAAAACTGGGAAGCAAACTACTGTAATGCTTCTCTCGATTTCTTCAGCCTGTTAACTCAGCCTTCCCCTGCCTCATGTAGGGGGCAGCAACTCACCAGAGCAGGTCGTGGCAAAAATCATGATGCAGGAAAAACCGTGAAGCCAGCCGATGCCTCTACATAGCTCCATCCTTATTTCAGACATTGTGATATATTGGTATATTGTGATGTCTAGATGGTGATATATCAGGATGTTGAAAACCAGATATCACCTAGCCCAGCTAGTAGGATGTGTCATCTTAGGGGGGGAAACTTAATTTTTGCAAATTTCTTCAGAAAGGGGTTTTTGGGTGTGAGGCATTCAGATACGCTATTATTTTTGTGCGCCGACAATATTTAGCTTGGCAAGTCTGCGTTTGATGAAGCAGCGCATAAACTGCTTACAGAAAACCAAAGAATTTTAATTTTACCTTCTGAAAATGCCATGCTAAATAATCATAATATACAAGATAACTGTATGTATGTGGTAATGATTTTAAATGATTTCTATGCAATTTTACACACTTTTTACTTACCAAGCAAAACTAAATTATAATATTTTAACCAAAATATCTTTTCAATTCCCAAGCCATGTTACAACTTTTTAGCATCCCTCATTTTCGGAATTTGAAAGTTGAAATATTCAATACACCCTAAGAAGCCAGGCCTATGCAGGCACTTAAGAGTCCATCCCTTACAGTGAGCTTCTAAAGTTTGTTTTTAATTCTTTTGCTCTTGTTTTTAAATTTTTTATTATTTTACTGTGTGGTTTTATGCTTTTATAGCATTGTAAACTTCTGTGATATATTTCTATTATACAGCGATGTACACACACACACACACACACAAATATATATACATTATGCAGTTGGGTGAAAGTGAGGAGAGATGGGGAAAGATCGTGATCCTTCGTTCTATTGTGCAGTATTTGCGCAGGGTTTTTGTGACAGCATCACGTGGGCAATAATAATAGTAATAATAATAATATATTTAAATAAATAAAGGTCAATACTGTCAGGACTCCCAGGTCCAGCCATGATTTTGACACCGACAAATAGGGTAGGAAGTTACCAAGCCTAACTCAAGCCTAACCCAACAACCAGAGGCTCCCCAGACCCAAAGACTCTGGATTGTGGACCCCAGAGACTGCAGCCCTCAAACCTCGTTCCACCGGGCTGGTGGCGTTCTCACTGTGCATCACTGATCCAGCTCACCAACACAACAAGTGTGCCCATGTGAGATTATGGAGAAGTACAGTGGTACCTCGCAAGACAAATGCCTCGCAAGACAAAAAACTCGCTAGACGAAAGGGTTTTTTGTTTTTTGAGCTGCTTCGCAAGACGATTTTCCCTATGGGCTTGCTTCGCAAGACGGAAACGTCTTGCAAGTTTGTTTCCTTTTTCTTAACACCATTAATACAGTTGCGACTTGACTTCGAAGAGCAACTCATAGAACGTGGTGTGGTAGCCTTTTTGAGGTTTTTAAAGACTTTGGTGATTTTTGAAGCTTTTCCAAAACTTTCCCGACACCGTGCTTTGCAAGACGAAAAGAATCGCAAGACGACAAAACTCGCGGAACGAATTAATTTCGTCTTGCGAGGCACCACTGTACCAGAAGACTTGGCATCCATTTAAGTTTCTGCACGTTTTTTGCAGAGAGGCAGAACCTAAAATGGGTAGTCCAGCTCAGTTAGCACAGATGGGCCCTTTTTAACAACAACAACACACTTTTTATTAAAGATGTTCAGATGTTCATCATCAATTCACCCACACACCCCATGTACCCTTAGCCCCCACCTTTAAAAAACAAGAAGTTATTACTAAAGGTTTTCTTGTATAACAAACATTAAGAGTCAGAAGTCAGAAAGACCAAAATTTTAATACGGAATGGGGAAGATTTATAACTTATCTTAAAGACCATTGTAAACAGTTAAAATTGTTAGTAGGATTGGAATATCACTTGTAGTTTAAGGTGGAATTCTGGACATAGTGGAAGAGGTAAAGAATTTGGACTATCATAAAAGATGTAGGAGGAAATGATTAATAATAGTACCCAAAAAGGGGAGGATGGAAGTCCAGGAGATTCCTTGGAATCTTATTTTTATGACTTATGTTGGATATATCTCTGTAAAATTTTAATTGGAAAAACCAAATAAATAAAATTTCAAAACAAACAAAGGAAAGTACACATAGTGTCTCCACTTTCAATTCATTGAGTATTTTTCACAGTTCGTTTGCATTCGGTATGAGAGTCTGTTGTCATATACATTATGCAGTTGAGGGAAAGAGAGGAGAGATGGGGAAAGATCGTGATCCTTCATTCTATTGTGCAGTATTTGCGCAGGGTTTTTGTGACAGCATCACGTGGGCAATAATAATAGTAATAATAATAATAATAATAATAATAATAATAATATATTTATACCCTGGGCTCAGGGCGGCTAACACCAGTAAAATTACAATAAAAACATAATGGGGGGTACAATTTAAAATACAGGTTGAAAATACAATTTAAAATACAGCCTCATTCTAATAATAGCCCATAGATCAAAACCATAAGGGCAGGGAAACATAAGGGTCAGACTGAGTCCAAACCAAAAGCCAGGCGGAACAGCTCTGTCTGGCAGGCCCTGTGGAAAGATGTCAAATTCTGCAGGGCCCTAGTCTCTTGTGACAGAGCGTTCCACCAAGTCGGGGCCAGTACTGAAAAGGCCCTGGGCCTAGTTGAGACCAATCTAACCGCCTTGTGACTTGGGATTTCCAAAATGTTGTCATTTGTCGACCTCAAGGTCCTCCGTGGGGCATACCAGGAGAGGCGGTCCCTTAGGTACGGGTAGGTCATTATATATACAGCGGTACCTTGGTTTACCAACTTAATCCGTTCCGGAAGTCCATTCTTAAACCAAAGCGTTCTTAAACCAAGGTGTGCTTTCCCATACCAGCGGGGGACTCAATTTACACTCAACAGGAAGCAGAACATGTTCTGCTTCCAAGGCAAAGTTCACAAACCAAAACACCTACTTCTGGGTTTGCAGCTTCTTAATCCAAGATGTTCATAAACTAAGCTGTTCTTAAACCAAGGTACCACTGTATATGCATTGCAAGAGATTGGTGGGCTCAGAGCTTGGTTGCTTGCGTTCAGTTGCTTGCAGTGTGGTTTGTTTGTATGGAGAAGGAGAAGCGGGGCATTGCTGAGTCAGATAAGCCATATCAATTTGTATGCTGTAGCAGGGAATAGGTCATAATCTTGCATTGTGTATATGATAAAGGGGAGAGCTATCAGTTGTGAATATAGACCACTGCCACCAAAATGTATGAGAAACTGCCCTATTAGAACAGTTAACCAACAGGTAAAGTTAAAGGACCCCTGGACAGTTAAGTCCAGTCAAAGGCGACTATGGGGTTGTGACGCTCATCTCACTTTCCGGCCAAAGGAGCCGGCGTTTGTCCACAGACAGCTTTCCGGGTCATGTGGCCAGCAGGACTAAAACACCTCTTGCGCAACAGGACACCGTGACAGAAACCAGAGCGCACGGAAACGCCGTTTACCTCCTCGCCACAGCTGTACCTATTTATCTACTTGCACAGGTGTGCTTTCAAACTGCTAGGTTGGCAGGAGCTGGGACAGAACAATGAGAGCTCACCCCGTCGCGGGGATTAGAACCGCCGACCTTCCGATTGGCAAGTACCACCCGCATCCCTGAAAGCAGGGTATTGCTGGGTCAGATATGCCATATCAATTCATATTCTGTAGCGGTGGATAGGTCGCGGGTGTGTGTGATAAAGGGGAGACCTATAAAGGGGAGACCTATCAGGAGTGAATATAGACCACTGGCACCAAAATGTATGGGAAACCACCCTATTAGAACAGTTAACCAACAAACAGAATGGCTCACTGGAGTCCAGATTCTTGTCAGAATAAGTTGTCTGCTCCCTGGGCTCTGTCCAGGGTCCTACCCCCAACCCCAACCTCTTTATTTTTAAGAATCCTCTTCCTCAGGGACTGAACCTCGTCTGTCCTCTTCTTCTGCCCCCCCCCCAGGTGTAACTGTTGGACTTACACCTAGCTGACAAGAGCTCCGCT